CACACAATGACGCACCATTATTCCATGCATGCTTGTAAATCCTTTGCTTAAACCTTGTGCTAAAATGGAGAAAATATTCATGGGTACAACAGCATCTCATAACAGAAAATAAATCCTTAATGAAAACAAATTAATGACTTTAAAAAACAGTGTTCAGTGAGCATAACTGCAAAAACACTGCTGTAAGATTGCAAGTTATAATCGTTAATATTGTAGCATTTCAAAACACAAAATACACAGTTGTGTTCTAGGGAGACGTTTGCATGGTCGACGTGCAGCTCTAATGCAGATCCCTCCCAAGGCCATTAAGCCTCTCCTAATTACACTTTATCTTGTTCAGTGGGCCTGCTGTCTACAAGCAGCAGTAGGGCTCAAGGGACATTTTGGCTAAAATGAGGTCTATTTGCAATGGTTGAGCTCATTTAGCATATACAGTACTGTGCAACAGTCTCAGACCACCCTTCATATATACATTTTGGAAAAGGGGGAAATGGATGGAACAAGTTCTTGAATTGAATTGAAATACATATAAAAATATATGGAAATACAGTATCTAAGGCAAAAACAGTTTGTACATTTCTAATGAGCTTGAAAGTCAATATTTGGTACCACCACCTTTATTTTTCAACACTGCCTGAATTCTCTCTAGGAAATTTTTGGTAGTCTTCAGGAATAGTTCTTCAGGCTAAGACAAAGCTCTTCTTTGCATGCTGGCCCCCTTTAAATGATCCCGCACTGCTTCAGTACTGTTGAGGTCTGGGCTCTGGGGAGGCCGATCCATGACTGATGGTGTTCCACTGTGTTTTTTTTCTATCTAGGCATGCTTTTACTGCATTGATAGTATGTTTGGATCATTGTAATGCGGAACAAGGCAGCAAATGCTTTTCAGGTAGAATTTAATGGTGTATAAAAACCTGGTGGTACTTTTACACATGAAAAATCGTTTTGACAGATCTCCAACACCACTGGCTGAAATTCAGCTCCAAACCATGACAGAGCCTCCTCCTTATATACTGATATCAACCAAAAATTTTACACTTGAATTCATCACTCATCAGTGCAGTTCTTGTGTAGTTCTGCATACCTTAGCCTTTTCTCCATTTTTCCTTCCTTAAGAATGACTACTTTACAGCCACGTCTCCACTGAGACCATTTCTGTTGAGGGCTTTAAAAAAAAAAAAATCTGTTAGTATCGATAGTGAGGTGTGTGTTCACTAAAACATGTTCATACTTGCAGTTAAAGGCTGAATTAGGTGGACTACCAGACATAATGTCAGCTGCCCTAACCTAACAATATTTTAGTTATCATGTGACATCTGTACAAAAACAGACAGATCCCCCTTGGGAACGGCATTTCCGGGTGAGTTCTTTTGATTAAAATGAGTGGGAACTTCCATGTCTCCCTCTGTATATTTGTGTTGTCGTGTTTGTATATGTGACTGTATGCATCTCTTTTCAACTGCTTCTCTGTCTGTCCCGGCACAACTGCTGACTGTAACCCGGTGCCAAGATAAAGATCAGGATAAAAACTACCCATAATCGTACCCAGTTTGATGTTTTTAAGAAGTCGGGGGTCAGGAATTAGAGCTTTAAATATTTCATTTACAAGGTCACTTAGAACTAGGACTTATCAATTTAGTTAGATAATAAAGATGCATATATCAATGACCATGTCACAGTTTTCTAGAAAGAATGCAATGATAGCGTTTAGCTGTTTTACTGATCCAGATACAGTATTATTGATTATTATTATTATTATTATTATTATTATTATTATTATTATTATGTCCATAAATGCATTAACCCAAATGCAGAACAATAAAATCTAAACTATGTAAAAGTAGCTTTTTTCAGCAGCTATCATTTAAATGAACAAAATGTAGATGATGTTGAAGAGGCTCTGTGTTTTCTGTGTTGTCTTGAAAAATGTGCATGTGAGGATGGATGACTCATCCACTGCAAACCAAATCTACCTACAGGTACAAATAAAGTATCCTGAACCTGAATCTAAGAGGAACTGGGCATGTGCTTTCAGCTTCATGCCAAAGATTCTCTAGAACAAGCTAAAAAAAGACCTTGAATTACATTCAAACCACTCAACACATGCCTTTGAATGTGCACCATCTTTCGCCAAGCAACTGAAGGTCTTATTTTTCTGAAGACAATTACATACCAGTGTGCCACACTTCTTTCTAGCACACATTCATTGCAACAATGCAATGTGGGACTTGTGACCAGTGATGGTACATTTGCTCTTTTCACTGGACCTGATGTATTGTCGGCTCACAAAGCCAGGGTGTGACAACCCAGCCAGAGGTAGAGAACAATATGGATTAAAATATTCTGGCAGTTTAGTATCATATCTTATCATTGTTACGGAGTACAGTGGTCCCTCGTTTATTGCGCGAGTTCCGTTCCAATGACAACCTGTGATAGGTGAAATCCGCGAAGTAGCCAACTTTTTTTTTTTTTTACAATTATTATAGATGTTTTAAGGCTGTAAAAACCCTCACTGCACACGTTATACACTTTTCTCAGACAGGCATGAACATTTTCACACTTTTCTCTCTTATTTAAACACTCTCAAAGTTCAAACCATAGAAAAATAAGTCCAGTATTATGGAATGAAACCAAAGATCAAACCCTGTTTTCAGGTCCAGAACATGAGAATAGAGCAGCTGTGAGAGAATTCAACACTAATGAATCAGTCGTATGGAAGTGGAGAAAGCAAGAAGAATGACTTGAGTAAAGTTTGACTTTTCTGACTGTTTTGTTTTACTTAATGCACCTTATAATCCGGCGTGCCTTACAGTCCGAAAAATACGGTAACTTCTACCTTCCTTTAGCATGTCCAGAAGTCCAACTGCCTGTGCTATGGTTAGCATCGTCCTCTGCCTTTTGGATGCTACCATAGATGCCTTTGACCGTGCAAAACGTTTTGTCAACATTCTTGTGTTTGTTGGGGATAAAACATACAGTACAGCACTTCAGAATCACACTGCTAGAGATCGAAGATTTATGTAAATTTGACAAGTTGAAAGCATTCTGTACAGTACAGAAGACACGGCACGAGATTGACTGACAATGGTGTGCAGCCAATCAGGACGCAGAACACAATGCGCTTAAAAAAAAAAAAGCATGCAAAAAAAATCTGCGAAACAGCGAGGCCATAAAAAGTGAACCACGTTATAGCGAGGGACTGCTGTACGAACAAACAAGTATTTTTTAAAACAAAGATTTTTCTGTATTTTTTTTCTGTTGTTTTTTTTTGTTTGTTTGTTTTTTAAATATCTCCCATCCACATGAAAATGTCAGAAAACAACCTCGTGTGCTGTCAAGGGCATGGCAGAGTAGCATGTGACAACAGCTCATTGTGTAGAGATGTCAGCCAATGAAAATCCTATAAATAGTAACACAGAGCACCATCTGACATCAGGAAAGGAGATGCAGGTGCACACTTTTGCCCCTTTCCTTGCTCACCTGTAAATGGAGGAGTTAAAAATCTAAATTCTGGAAGGTGTTTTTATCAATAGCTCAGTTTTCAGTGGTGTGAATTGGTTTTTACATGTAGATTAAAGCATCAACATACACACACAAAATTGCATCCATATTCACATGTCTGCATACCTGTGGACATGTCCTTGTTTCAAAAACAGAAATGTGCAATTTGACCAAAAATCCAGATTTAAGACCTTGAGCTTATAATTATTATTTCATTTAACCACTGCGGTCCTTTCTGCTTCTTTCTGGCATCAAAACACCTGTTTCAAAATGATCACCTTGTTATCATATGATGCTGCAGGTAGAGCAGGTCATCTGCTAGTTGAAAGACTGATGGTTCAATCCCTGGCTGCTCCAGTCCACATACCAAATATCCTTGGGCAAGATACTGAACCCTGAGTTGAGTAGTGTGTATTGAGGAGTATGATTGTTAGATGGAAAGCACTTAGGCATACAAAAAAGTGCTTGTATGATGGGTGAATGAGGCATGTTGTATACAGTGCAGTGAGTGCTCCAGTATGGTAGAAAAGCACAATATAAAAAACCTTCATTCAATCAGGTCATGTTTTAAGAGCACTGAATTATTGGATATATATAACAGGAGCTCATACTAACTCACAAGAAATGGGTGTTTTATTGGAGGAAAGAATGTGACTCTGAATAGTCACAATATTCAAATGACAAAGTTGCCATTTGGATTTTACCTTCAAATGGCAACTTTGCTCATAAGAATATTAAAAATTATATTTTTTTAATGTAGTTGAGAATAGAGAAACATTGAAATGTGATGAATTTAAATTACTTCATTACTTTCTGGATTAATACAATTTTACTAAAAGAAGTGAAATTTGTTACTGAACGAAGATGACTGTTATTAATTTTTTTTTAACTGTTATCTGTAATGTTACTCAATTTGTTTGTTTTTTTGTATTTGAGAAGAAAAAGTCAGTACTAACAGTCAATTAGTTAAATGTTAGGGTTACTTTGAGGTTTTTTTTATGTTAATAATTCATTGTGGCGACATACCTGTTGATGATAATTAAGATGTTAACATGCAATTCATTCCCTGTATGAATTGCAGGTGTATCCAGTTTTTGGTTTTATTTGGTAGTTCATTAATATAGCGATGTGCTGTTCATAGTCGTTGTATGAAACAGTGAAAAGGCACCATCCTCCTCTTTAGAAATATCAAAAATCCAATAATACCTATCTTGTTATTTATATTTTAAGTATAATTTAGTTTTTAGTAAAAATGCCATTTTCAGGGGGGTTCTCAAGTTATACTTTGTAATATTTTGAAACCATTTTTTTCAACAACTGGATTTACGTTTTGTCTCAGGAAACGTTCACACCTGTTTTTTAGTATTCCGTCCGCAGATTCATCATTTTCAAATGTATGAGTGGGACAAAAAAGGCACGCAATGGTTAGCTTCAAAGGCATTTATTTTGAAAACACCGGACGGAAATCCCTGTTATGTGCCGTTGCTTCTCCGCGCTCCCGCGTTGTTTTGGGAACATTCGGTTTCACAGTGAGCACGCGCTTCCCGGACCGTAGCTGCCCGTCATCGCTGGCGCTGACATCACACGGAGGATTTGCTACAATGTCAAACACTCACAAGCAGCGCGAGCTCATGGCTTCCCCGCGCCACAATGACAAACACCGCCGCGTCCTGCTGCTCATCCTCTAAATACTACACAACTACGACCACAACTACGACCACCGTCCATGGCTTTATTCCGCGATTTTGGACAGGATGCGTTTGAGGTGAGACGGGTCACTCAGTTCTTTTCTAAATTACTGCTTTTTACTTGTAAATCATTTAGTTTATTTCGCAATGTTTTTAATTGAAAATTGTAGTTGATGTTTGAATTCTTGTTTGTTAAAAAAATTAAAACCTTTAAACGCAGACGGCGTGTTTCCCCGTATCTTTATGGGAAAAGTTCCCCGGCTCCCTAACGTTGATTGCTGTGCTATTACGTAATGGGAGTGCGGACACTGCTGAACGGATTTTACAGTGAGGTGCCGTGATGACACAGCTCGCGGTTTGCGTAGTAAAGACAGCGTCATATTTGCACACCCCTGTAACACCAAGTTTGTAGCCAAATAACGCATTTATCCCCTCACTGATTCACTCAAAGCACAACACTTCACGGTTTTCCAGGCTGTTAGTTGACCCAGCTATGACTGATTTATTACTGTTTTTTTAAAGAAAAAAAGTCATTTAATTACAGGTCCTCATTGAACAAATACATGCTAAAAACAGAAGAACATTTAAGTGATTTGTGCTTGTATTTTAGCTGGAAAATATATAAATGTCTAATGTTGCTACTGATGTTGCTCATACTTTTATAATATCTGCAGTGCTGTGAAAATGCATGTACTCTCTTTCTGATTTTTTCCCCTTATTTGTCATGCTTACTTCTTTTAGATCATCAAACACATTTTAACATTACACAGCGATAACTGATTAAAATAAAATAAAAAATGAGTTTTTTAAATGATGACTTTATTTATAAAAGTAAAAAATAAAGCTATCCAACCCCTGTGTGCAAAACTAATTGCCCCGCTTTGTTAAATCATGTTCAGGTTCATTAGCTACTGCCAGACCTGGCGAATCAAGAAATCACTTCAATAGAAGATGTCTGACAAAATGAAGCAGGCTCAGATCTCAAAAAGCAACACATCATGTCCTGCTCTAAAGAAACAGCTGATAAACAAAGTCATTGACATCTGTCAGTCTGGAAACAGTTACAAAGCCATTTTTAAGGTTTTGGGACTCGAGAACAGTGGAACAGTGGTGAACCTTCCCAGGAGTGGCTTACCAAAATTACTCCAAGATCACCCGGACGACTCAACCAGGAAGTCACAAAAGACCGCAGAACAACATTAAAGAACCGCAGGCCTCACCTGCTTCAGTTAAGGTCAGAGTTCATGATTCAACAATAAGAAAGAGAATGGGTAAAAATCAGACTGCATGGGAGAGGTCAAGGAGAAAACCACTGCAGAGCAAAAAGAACACAAAGGCAGGTCTCACATTTACCAAAAATATTTTGGTGATCCTCAAGAGTTCCGAGAAAATATTCTGTGGACTGATGAGACAGAAGCTGAACTTTTTAGAAAGTTTGAGTCCTGTTACATCTGCAAAAAACTAACACGCCAATTCATGAAACAACATTATACCAACAGTCAGACATGGTGGTGGTAGTGTGATGGTCAGGGCTGCTTTGCTGCTTCAGGACGACTTGTTGCAACGGATGCATTTTGTATTTATTCTGGTTCTCTTTGTCTAATATTAGAATTAGTTTGATGCTCTGAAACATGTAAGCGTGACAAATATGCAAAAAACAAACCCTAAGAAATCAGGAATAAGGTAACTACTTTTAGTCACTCTGTTGTTTTCAGCACATTGCTAAGTATCAGCATCAGAAGAAGACACCGAGTATAAGGTGTTCACGGTTAAGTGATGACAAGCTTTGAACCTGACTGTGTGCTGTTTGTGCGTCTCAGCAAATCTATGTGAGTGCGTGAGCCAGGTCAGAGGTCATGTTGCGGAGGGAATCCGACTCCCACGGCCTCTTTACCTTCGGAGAGACGTCCGACAATGACTGTGAGGTGAGGCTGTTTATTTATACCTGCTACCGGCGTACCTCTTAGATCTGCATGTGGCTCTAAAGTAGGCTGCAGTTGACACAAAATGTAACCGAAGGAACCCACAGGTCCAGTTGCTGAACACGTAATAGCTCAACTTTTTGACTTAATTGTGTTATTTTTTTTCCTTTTAATAACTCTAGTGTTCAGCACTTGGCAGTCAAGCATTTTTAAGTGAGTAGGCAGATAATGTCAAAAGCCAGAAATCTCTCCTCTGAGCCGTTGACAGAGATATGAAAACTTTTGCCAATGATATCCAACAGCCAGGCTCTTCCCAGGTCATGTGACAGTGATATTGCTGTACCTTATGTAAGTTTGTACAAGCTTCTTACTCCTTCCCTTTATCTCTGTCATTATGCTGCTGTCTAAGGATAAAAGGGACCAGAAGCTTCATCAAGTCAGCAGATCACAGTTGTTTATCCTCCCTGTCTTTGTCTCTCTGTCTTAGATGGGGGTGAGTTGCAGAGAGGTAGATGTAGCGTGTCTGTGCGAGGCCGGTCCCTGTACACTTTATTCAGAAGCACACACGCCTACGCCGGTGAGTGCTCAGGCTTTCCACTTAAGTGTCTGTGGCCGTCGCTCAACCCGCTCAGATCTGAGAGTGTTTCTTCATCTGTAATCAGGCTCTAAATGCTGCCCGACGACCTCTCTGCATCTTTGTCGCTGCCCTGTTTTATTTTAAAGTACCTGTTCACAGATATCGACGAATCACGTGTTAGCTTTTCGTTTTGTTTTTTTTCGAGATGTGAATCTAATCAGTAGGTCTGTCTCTCTTCCTGCTTTCTGTTCTCAGGACACGCGGCTGTGTGAACGCTGTGGAAAAAACAAAGTGATGGTAACCAGGTACTCTGAGGGATACGGCACAGAGGTAATGTGTAGCATATGTGTGCGTGTCTTTATGACAGTGCTCTGTGTGCAGCTACTTAATGCTGTTGCAGAGCGCTGTGTGTGGAGTCCAGATATGTAACACGTTATAAGACTTTTTGATATTTGTGTTGATTTCCTGGCAGGCAGCTGGCATTTTTATAGGCTTTTAAGATTCCAGCTTGTGAGCAGTACATGAGTAATACCAGGGTTCACTTAGGCCAGATGATTGATGCTCATGCCACAGATAGACATTTTCAAAAAGGATTTTCAGTCTCTTAAAACTAGGGTTGGACCATTTATTGCTAACTGATATACAGCACTGTGCAAAAGTCTTGAGCCAGCCCTAACATCTTTATATTTTGTCATATTTTGAGGCAAATACTGAAACTTTTCTGACAAAGTTGTATTTTTACTCAGTTGTATATAGAATTTGTGTTCTATTTTTATATTATTGTATATTTTATTCTA